CAGGAACTCATTAGCATAATAGGCCACACCCAACAGCAGAAACTCATTAGGATTGGCTACATTAGGGGTGTGTGGCCTAACATGCAAAGGAGTTCCTGCTACAAAAAAAGGCCCTGGGTTTTGACAACAAACAAGGTAAACAGAATAACAAGCAAAAGGCGGGTGTGGCTGGATGAGCACACTTCTGGTAACATGGGGGTGTGGCCTAATATGCCAATGAGCTGTGCTGTCAGGGGTGTGGCCTAATATGCTAATGAGTTTCTGCTGTTGGGTGTGGCCTATTATGCTAATGAGTTCCTGCTGGGCTTTTTCTACAAAAAGTGCCCTGATTGTAGGTATGTAGGTATGTTTGGCTATCTTTCGGCTATACTCCCGCAGAGTGCAGGGGGTTGGACTAGATGACCTGCAAGGTCCCTTCCAACTCCAGCATTCTATGATTCTATGATTCTATACATGTGCTACCTGAGTGTACATGTAGGCTTGCAAAAGGAAAAAAAATCCTAAATTTCCCCTGTTTAATTAACAGTATTAACACGAACATTTTGAACAAGCAGCCAAAAAGATCAGCAATTGGCTGGGCCCGGAAATGACCGTGATCCGACCTAGTTGATTTCACTTTTCTATTGCATTCTGTGAGGTATCTATGAGGAGCCTGTCCCATTCTGAACAGGGCCGGCTCCAGGCGTTTTTGTGCCCTAGGCGGGGCTACCTTCTGGCGCCCCACCCACCAGTGCGTCCACCAATTACGGTGGTTGCCAACCTCCAGGCGTGGCCTGGAGAGAAGGATCTCGATGGGTCTCCGCCGCCACATAAATCAGTTTGCTCTGGAGCCGTCCCTTCCTGAGCCGAGACAAAAATGTGTGAGCTGGAGGCTACAAAACTGTGAGCCATCACACACTCACTTAGCTTAGAGGGAACACTGCTTCCGGTGGAGCTGCAGAAAAGCACACGCATAAGCCGCAGTCTTTGCAAACGGGGGTGGGTGGGTGGGGACGGACAGAGAGAGGAGGGGAGGGTCTGTCCTTTCCAGTCAGCTTGGAAATTTGCGCGCCCCGGCAGGAAGAACGCTGTAGAGTTCTGAATCAGAGGTAGGGGAGCTCAGTGGCTCTCCTCCTCAGGGCGATTCTCACCATCTCATTGTAAATGCATCCTACCTCCTGAGTAGCTTTCGAAAATGCCACCTTAGGAATCCATTCTTGCTATGGAGTGAAAGGACTGCACAGAGCTATGAAGTAGATAACCAAGGATTCTTCTCCCATGTATACAGGGTTGTTGTTAGGGTTGCCAAATGTGCCCGGGGGGCGGGGAGTCCCCCGCTTCGGAGCCCCGATTTCCGCCCCGGCCGGGGGGAACCCCGCCCCCAAAGCTGTGTCACCGGAGGTGATGCAGCCACGGTGCTGACGTTGGGGGCGTGGCTGAGCTCATCGGGGGGGGGGAAACCATATGTTTCCCTCCCGACGAGCTCGGCCATGCCCCCAACGTCAGCAACGTCACACGCGCCCAGCCTGCTCCCCGACGGGATGGAGCCTCCCCCTCCGGTGAGTATAAAAGATTTGGCAACCCTAGTTGTTGTTGTTTTTAATTCAGATACTAATCCTGAAACCACTTATGCTGTTACTACATTTTTAATGATCGTTTTATCTGTACAGCGACAAAAATCTGGCTTGATTCAACTGTGACAGAATTTGGTGTGCACCCAGTTATTATGATTTAAATGAATATTTAAATGAATTATAGTTTTATTAATGACTTCTGTTTTAACATTTTAGATCTTTTAGATTTGATTACTTCGACTGTAAACTTTTATTGTTAAGTTCGTATTATGAGGCTAATGTTGTATATTCATCTTTTTAAATTAAGTTTAAGACCTATGGTCATAGAAGCTAATAAACATAAGTAAGTTGTTTTTAATTTTAATTTTAATATTTTTATTAAATAAATATAAAACAATTGATGCAGAGAATCCCAAACAATACAAACTATTTAACAGTAATAATATTCTTGATATTCTATTCAGTGTATCTATCTAAAACTTAACTAATTAAAACTCATAACATGTTTTCTAATAATACAGTTGGGTTAGCAACCATCTTGTATAAATGTAAGAATTTGAGTTCAACTAGCTAATATTTATTGTTCACAGTTAAAACATACTCTAAATCTGGGGTTTATAGAGTAAACACTTCAGATGAAACTAAATGATCAGGAATAAATCCATTCTGTGCCATGTAACGTATAACCGGAAACCATTTCTCAAAAAAAGTTGATTGGTAGTTTTTATGTTCAAGTTGTAACAAAATTTGTAATTTTTTTCTCTAAAATATAGCAGTCCCATATCTTAGACATCCATAACGAAACTGAAGGTGCCAATTTGTTCTTCCGCTTGGAAGCTATCGCTGTCTTTGTGACAATCTAAGTCTTTCATATTTGTGGAACTGGAATATCTTCCATAGATTAAGCAGTATTAGCTCAGGTGGTAAAGGGAGTGAATACCCTGTTATTAATAGGATCAATTTCAATACACAGGGTTGAGTTTGGTCTGTCTTGGGGGCACTGTTGGACTCTAGCTTCCTTCTCCCATTGTTTTGTCAACTCTTGTGTTTACATGCTAATTTGCTGCCATCCATTGGATCTTACTGGCCCCCTGATGCAATTTCAGCTCTGCACGTGCATCTTGGTTCTGAGTGGTCCCTCCAAACGGCTCCCCCCACCCTCTTTTTTCCCGCAAGTAACCCTTGAGGAGATCTTATTCCATTTGTCTGTAGAACTGTGTTTGGCACACAAAAGCTTTCACTGCGAATAAAACTTTGTTGGTCTTAAAGGTGCCCCTGGACCTAAACTTTGTTCAACCAAGGATTGTGTCAGACAGCACACGGAGAGTATTTTGCTTTCTTTCACAAGACAGCTTTTCAGTTGCCTCTGATAAGCAAATCTGTCATTCTTCAAGCACCTTTGGCACGCCGAGTGAGTTGCCGCTCTTAACTCGGGGAGCGTCAGGATATTCTTCAGATGCAACAAAGGTCAGGCTGGGAGGCTGGGAATTCTGCCGCCCCCTAGGAAGACAAACCCAGATTCGAAAGCCGATTTTTCTCCGTTAGCAAGTGTCGAGAAGCACTTTTACACACACTAAATAATGCACTTTCAATCCACTTCCAATGCACTTTGCAAATGGATATCACTGTGTGAAACAGCAAAATCCACTCACAAATTACTGCTAAAGTGCATTGAAAATGCACTGAAAGTGCATTATTTATTGTGTCTGAAAGCATCCAATGATTTCCAGACAGCCTTATTGCTATGGTTCGGACTCCCATCTTCATCGGGTTCTTTCAGAGCATTCTCACAGTGATGTTCCGAATTCCTGAGCGGGGTCAATGCCGTGCATCTGTGCATCACTTATGATGCTGCACCAGTCAATCACTTGGGTTCCTTGGCCAGAGAACCATCCCAGCTTTAAGCAGCTTTGAAAGGGGATTAGATAGATTCATGGAGGATAGGTCTATCAGTGGCTACTGGACATGGTGACTGAGGGGGGACCTCCAAATTCGGAGGCACTAAGCCTCTGAGTCCCAGAGCCAGGAGGCAACATCAGGGGAAGGCCTTGGCCTCTAAGCCCTGTTGTTGGCCCTCCAGAGGAACTGGTTGGCCACTGTGTGAGACAGGATGTTAGACTAGATGGACCAAAGGGCTCTTCTTATGTTCTTATGAAGGCCTCGGCCACTCTGCCCTGTTGTTGGCCCTCCAGAGGAACTGGTTGGCCACTGTGTGAGATAGGATGCTGGACTAGATGGACCACTGGTCTGATCCAGCAGGGCTCTTCTTATGTTCTTATGAAGGCCTCGGCCACTCTGCCCTGTTGTTGGCCCTCCAGAGGAACTGGTTGGCCACTGTGTGAGATAGGATGCTGGACTGGATGGACCTGGTTGAGGCCACCGTGTGCGACAGGATGCTGGACTAGAGGGACCCTCACTGGTCTGCTCCAGCAGGGCTCTTTTTCTGTTCTTATCCCTGATCACACGTGCATTATGAACCAATGGAAGATTGAAAAGAGATGGTGAATTAACCTTTCTTTCGGTCCCCATTCTATTTGGGATCCTGAAAAACACCACTTTCTAACAAATTTCCCATTCCCATTCCCCTCCCCCACACCCCCGCATAGAGTTGCCCACCCCCCAGTGGTGGCCAGAGAGCTCTTGGGATCAAACTGACCTCCAGGAAACAGGGCCATCCTCCACGACCCCGACTCATCCCCAGTCAATAGTTCTGTTCCAATCAAAATCCTATCGCAAATGGTCTTATCTGGATACTAGAAGAGACCAAGCATTAGGCAAAGGTGGAAACACTTCCCATGTTGTCTCCTGAGGAACAGGAACCCACCAAAGACCAGCATGAGGGCTGTACTGGAGCGCGTTGGTGAGAGAGAGGAATTGCCAAAAACACCCATCGATTTTTCCATTCATGAAAAATTACCATGGTATCCAAACCGTAGGATGGGAGAGCAACTATGGATTCTCAGCCTGAAATGGCCTTCCTTGGGTCCAGTTTGGGGGCAGGCTTGTACTGCCTAGAGAGGCCCCCTTCACCATTTGGGGATTGTTGGTAATTAACCACTGATATGCAGCTAATTCATCATCATTGTATGGCATTGTATGGCCAGGAGATCCTAAGATTGTCTGGCAGCCAGAAGTTCTAGCTCTTATAGCATGAGGCACGACTAGGTGGCGACCTAGACTTTGCTTATAAGGCAAGAGATGTTCCAGAGTTGGTTTGCCATTACTTGTCTCTCTGTCACAGCCCTGGTACGCCTTGGAGGTTGCCCATCCAAATGCTAGCCAGGGCTGACCCTGCTTAGCTTCCAAGGTCTGATGAGATCGGGCTGGCCTGGACTACCCAGGTAGGGCAACTGACATACGGCTGTCTGTACATTGCACATAACTTACCCAGTACGACAGGTTGGTATGTAAGATGACCTCATTGGGTTTCTTTGTTTCTCGCCCAAGGGGAAGCGCTCCATTTGGCCAGGGATTTCGGCTACACCTGCGAAACAGAATTCCCAGCCAAGGCCGTGGGGGAACACCTCGCCAGACAGCACATGGAACAGAAGGAACAGACCGCCCGGAAGAAGATGATCTTAGCAACAAAGTAAGTATGACCCCACTTGATCTCAATTCCCCTTTGAAAAACTGACATTGGGCCATTCCCCGCTGAACGCCAAGATTTCGGGCTTGGCTATGTCGAACGCATTCCGGGCCAGGTTCTGAAGCCTGCTACACCGAAAACTGGTCAGGCCAGTGGTCTACTTATGTGAGCAGTGTGACACGGCAGCTGTGAAACCGCACAAGGTCTTCTTCCGCCCAGGACTCTTTGCAAGTTGCCATTCCCACCCCCCACCCCCAGGCATCCAGTCTTGGGATGCATGCTCTTTGCTCGCCGTGGAAGAGGAGTGGCAGTTTCAAAGTTATGCCACTCCGGTGAGCAGAGTTTGTTTGCACCAGTTGGCTGCTGAAGGGTGGCGAGTTGACCTGGGAATGAGTCAGGGAAGGTTTTTTAAAAAAAACAAAAACAAAAATTGTGCTACTATTATATTATTATTGCCCTCTGCTGGGCAGAATTAGAATCACTTGGCTACATCTGTCTATCCAGCTGTTTCTTTATCATGCAAGAGATGGAGCTTTGTGTTTTGTGGGCTATAAAGGTCTGTACTTTTTGAAGAACTAGGTGGACAGTGCAAAAGGAGAGCCAGTTTGGTGTAGTGGTCAGGAGGGCAGACTCTAATCTCAGAGAACTGGGTTTGATTCCCCACTCCTCCACATGCAGCTGCTGGTGTGACCTTGAGTCAGTCATAAGTTCTTTCAGAGCTGTTCTCTCAAGGGCAGTTCTCAAGAGAGCTCTCTCAGCCCCACCTACTTCACAGGGTGTCTGTTGTGGGGAGGGGAAGGAGACTGTAAGCCACTCTGAGACTCCTTCGGGTAGTGAAGGGTAGAGTATAAATCCAGTCTCCTCCTCCTCCGCCCTGAATGGCCCAAGTTAGCCCGATCTTGTCAGATCTTAGAAGGTAAGCAGGGTTGGCGCTGGTTAGTACTTGGATGGGAGACCACCAAGGAAGTGCAGGGTCACTATGCAGAGGCAGGCAACGGGAAGCCACCTCTGTTAGTCTCTTTCCTTGTAAATCCTATGTGGTTGTCATTGACTAGCTCTGACTTGATAGCACTCTACACACACACTATCAGACAGCATACTTTCCAGGCACGGAGTTACCCCTGCAAAAAGATTCCCAGAATTCCATAGATGTGCAAAGGTGTGACGTGAACCTTTTTCTTCCTGATGATGCACAATGTGAGGACCCAGTGCAGTGTAGCAGTTAAGAGCGATGGACTAATATCTGGAAGACCCCAGTTTGAATCCCCACTTGTGCCATGAAAGCTCACTGGGTGGCCTTGGGCCAGTCACACCCTCCCAGGCTAACCTACCACACGGGGGCTGTTGTGAGGATAAAATGGAGGCAAGGTGAAGTATAATGTCAGGTGCTTTGGGTCTCCACTGGGGAGAAAGCTGGGGTATAAATGAAATAAAGAAATGCCTAAATAATTAAACATGAACATGATAAGGTTGCCTAGTCAGACCACTGGTCCATCTAGCTGGTTGACCTCCTGATGGCACCTGGTTTTTGGCCACTGTGTGACATAGAGTGTTGGACTGGATAGGCCATTGGCCTGATCCAGCATGGTATCTCATGTGTACTTATTTAATATTATCTCCTCTGACTGGTGGCTTCCTCAGGTAGAGGAAGACAGTTCCTAGCTGTGCTATCTGAGATCCTTTTTTAGCTGAAGATTTCAGGATCAGAACCCGGGACCCTTTACACGTAAGCAGAGAAGCACATTGGTGCCCTTCCATCATGGGCCTCATGGTGAGATACCAGATGCCATTCCATTTAATCCCGTGGAGGGGAAAAAAACAGATGTGATGAAGATCCTGAGGTAGATCCAAGAAATCTTCCTCCAAATTACATGGCTCTTCCTCAACAGGAGAACCACTTAAGTTGGAGAAGCCTTCAAAGTTTGCTCCATGAAGTGGGCAGGGGCTGTGGCTCAGTGGGAAAGCCTCTCATTAATTAATTATCATATGGCAGTGTGCATAGTATAGACAGGAGATCCTAAGATTGTCTGGCAGCCAGAGGTGCTAGCCTTTTCTGCGTTGAGCACCACTAGGTGGTGAGTTAGACTTGTGTTGAGGGCAAGAGACGTTTCAGAGGTGGTTCGCCATTGCCTGCCGCTGCGTTATTTCTTGGAGGTCACCAGGCCTGTAGTTACAGTGGAACATTTCGGAGCTCTGCCCCCTCAAATGTGAGGCACACCCCACAACAGCCACTGCCCCTCTCCCCCTCCCCTTACCTCCCCTCCTGTGTCATTAAAAGGGCCCTCCAGCTGAGCAGCGGGAGCATGTGGCCTGCCGATCAGCTGGAGGGTCCTTTAAATCTTGTGGCCATACCCCCACCCTCCCCTCCTCCAAGGGCCCTCCAGCTGATCGGCTGGCCATTTAAATCTCACAGGAGGTGAAGGAGATGGGTGGCTGCCTGCGGCACACCTTCTCTAAATCACCACTTGGAGTTCAGGGAAGGCGTGCGGCCACTCCTCTCCCTCTCCACTCCCCCTCCCTCTTCCCCTCCCCTGCTGCCCCACAAAATTTCCTCATGCCCCACCAACCCAAAATTCGTGGCTACAGGGCTGGAGGTCACCCTTCCAAGTATTAGCCAAGGCCAACCCTGCTTAGATCCCGAGATCTGATGAGACAGGACTAGCTTGGGCTATCCAAGTCAGGGCGGAAGAGCCTCTGCTTTGCACGCAGAAAGTCCCGAGTTCAATTCTCAGAGTCTCCAGTTAAAAGGATCCGGTAGCTGGTGATGTGAAAGACCTCAGCCTGAGAACCTGGACATTTTGAAAAGACGATCCTGATCTTGATTGACCAAGGGTCTGATTCAGTATTATTTATTTAGTTATTTATTGGGATTTTTTTACCCCGCCCTCCTTGCAAAGCGAGCTCAGGACGGCTTACAAGGGACAAAGCCCATATAAAACAAGGTAAAAGCATTAAAAAAACATTAATAACAATTAATCACAACAACAATAATACTCAATTAAAACAAGATGGTCCCCGGATGTATGCCATGATGGTAAACAGACAGTTCTCTGGAGATGATGTGGTCTTATAGCCGATCCCAAGAAAGTAAGTCTGGTGGTATCAGTCACGCAAAAATTGTGGCAGATCTTCCCAGGCCACCCTTAACCCCAATGTTGTCCACATCATTGGTGGCGGTGGTAGTGGTGGCCCCTATGTGAAAGCCTGGCAGAAGAGCTCCATCTTACAGGCCCTGCGGAACTGCATAAAGTCCCGCAGGGCCCTGATCTCCTCCGGGAGCTCGTTCAACCAGGTAGGGGCCACCACCAAAAAGGACCTGGCCCTAGTCATGGCGAGCCTTGCCTCCCGGGGGCCTGGAACCACCAGGCGATGTTGTGCCCCAGACCAAAGTGCTCTTGGGGGTATATGTGGGGAAAGGCTGCTTCATGTATAAGGCTACTTCATGTATGATCAGGGATAATAAATATCCATTGCTTTGATCAAGGGGCTTTCCCAGTGCCTCATGGAGGAAGGCTTCCAACTTTCCTCAGTGGAGCGGGAAGACAGGGGTTGGATCCACCCTGTGGACCCCTGTCTATCTATAAAAGGCAAAACTGGTGTGGTGAGATGGTCAGAAGTATGGTGGACGAGTCTCTGAGAGATCTTGGTTCAAAGCCCCTCTGTACCATGAAAACTTGCCAGGTGACCTCGAGCCAGTCATCTCCTCTCTCCGACCTACCTCCCAGGGGCGTTGTGCGAATAACGTTGATAAAGGGAGAAGCTCCATGTATACCTTCCTGAGCTTCTTGGGTGGAAAGTCAGAATAAAAATGTACCAGGGACAGAGACAGAAATTGGCACGCGTGCCGTGATTCAGAAGGGGGGCGTGCGGGAAAAGGGGATTTAAGCCTTCGAGCCATACAGTTGGCCTCATTCAAAATATGCCCCCCTGGTCTGTTTACAGGTCATGCTGTGAATTTGGGACGCCAGCCTCCAGGTGGGGCCTGGGGATCCTCCAGAAACACAGCCCATCTCCAAACTACAGTGATCAGTTTCCCTGGAGAAAATGGATGCTTTGGAGGGCGGGCTCTGTGGCATCATACCCCACTGAGGTCCCAGCCTTCCCTAGGTTTCATGCCCAAAGCTCCAGGAACGTCCCAACCTGGATTTACCAACCCTACCCCCCATCACCCACCAGTGGCCGGGGGGACCACATCATGCCCTAGCGCACATCGTGAAGTGACCCTAGGAATTTATTTATCCGCAAAAGGGCCAAGAGGCTTCAGGGTTTCTGGTTCCATGCCTAATGCCTTTTTGCCACCCTCACCGGCTATGATGCGAAGCAACAGGAGATGAGATTCGGCGACTGCAAGTCGTCTTCTACCATATCAAAGTCGTCCATGAAAGTCGAGCTTTCTGATTCCTTGAAAAGGGGGGTTTCCTTCTCTCCTTGATGTCTAACCCTCTTCAAAGGATCCCCTTTGGCTATACCAGCCTGCGATGGGAGGGAAGACACCACCCCTTTGTCGAGGCTGCGCGCCGCAGCTGCAATCAGAAGTTCTGCGATGCACAAACATACCAGAGGCAAATAGGCCTCTCTGCCCCCTTTACCTTCCCCAAGGAGCTGTGAAGAACAATTACTCTCCAAGAGTTCTAAAGAGCACACGGCATCTTAAAACATTTACCTAAGACGAACTGCCGATCCATTTCCATGTCGACTCACACATCGAGTGACATCGAGAGCCACCTCTTCCTACCAAGCGTGACACGACCCCATGGTTTGGGGAGGGGAGGGACCTCAGCAGGGTATAACACCAAAGAGTCCACCCTCCGAAGCAGCCATTTCCTCCAGGGAAACTGCTCTTGGTGGTCTGGAGATCAATTGTAGAAGAAGAAGAGGAAGAGGAATAGGAAGAGGAGGAGGAAAAGGAAGAAGAAGAAGAAGAAAAGAGATTTGATTTATACCCCACCCTTCACTACCCAAATGGGTCTCAGAGTGGCTTACAATCTCCTTTCCCTTCCCATCCCCACAACAGACCTCCTGTGAGGTAGGTGGGGCTGAGAGAGCTCTGAGAGAACTGCTCATGAAAGAACAACTCTGAAAGGACTTGTGACTGACCCAAGGTCACAGTAGCAGCTGCATGCAGAGGAGTGGGGAATCAAACCCAGTTCTCCCAAATTAGAATCTGCACTCTTAACCCCTACACCAAACTGGCTGTCCCTGGAGAACCACTGCCCACCTTAGCAGATAATACCAGCCTCAATAGACCAAGGGTCTTGTTGTATAATTTGACTTAATGTGACTTCCGGTTTTGGTGACTCGCAGGCAGGTGCGCTCCATCACAGCTCTGATGTGAGCGCCCTGCAAATGTGCCGATGGGGGTGTGTGTCCGAGTTGATCTTGGACCCCCCAGATCCCCTGCAGGGGGGTCATAGCCTGGGGCACGAGACGTGCCTCTCCCAAGGCAGAAGCCAAAGGATTGAGACACCTTTTTGCCACAAAAGCCCCCCGCGGCACAGAGCCATCATGGCATCTAGAGATGCACACCAGACAGAGCGTACAAAGATCCCAAGGAATTATCTTCTCTACACGTGCAACGAACGCAAGTACAAATGTGAGTGAAGCCATGACCCAGCAAACAACCAATAAAACACTAGCAGTAAAGCCATCCCAAAGCCCCAAATAAGCGGAAGGGGGAGGGAAATGCCCGATCCCGAAAAGACTGAATTTAAAGCGGGATGCTGAAAGGGCAGCATGAAGGAAGCGGATTAAGATGAAGTGTGCAGCAGACCAGCAAGAAAGCGATAAATCATCTGACTTACTGAGAACATTTGGACTTTCCTCTTGTATAAACAATGATGCAGTGAACAGAAAAAAATGGCGCTGAAAGTGAAACTTACAACAGGAATGGCCAGCACATCATCACTGGCTACCAGACCAGAAGCAACCATTGACTTTCCCAAAATGATTGCTGCAGCTTTACGCCCTCTACTGGACCAGATTACCAACCTTGGCAACAGACTGGATATGTTGCAAAAGGATCTCAAAATTTCAGCGAGAAAACAGATAAAGTGAATGTTCCTGAAGCAACAACAGAAAGCAGAAGAGGGTCCTGAGAAAGTAGAGGAGAATAAAGACGCAGAAGAAGAAGAAGAGAAGGATGGGATAGACTCTGATACCATCTCTATTAGTCTGTCTGAACCCTTTAATCCTGAAGTCGAATTAGGGGTTGCTACCCCTAAAGCATTTAAAAATTAATTTGGACTTTGACAGGAGGAGTGAAAAATGCAAAATAGTTTAATTTTAATAAGCCTGATACTTATTCTTAACATATAACTTTAATCCAATGATATTTACACGATAGCCAAAGAGTTTGTGAATGTTTGCTTGACACTTTCATATTATTAATTCTCATATTTTACTTTTAAGATAATAGAGATGTATCAACAATCTTACAGTTCTGTACCATGGATCCTTGTTTATATTAGGTTGTTCCCTCCCCCTGACCCTGTAGGTTTGTAGTTTAGAAAATAATAATAAAAAAGACTTAATGCATGTCCTAGGTAGGGTTGCCATCCTCCAGGCAGAGTATAACAATGGAGAGTATCACAGAAAGAAGTAGAAACAAGAATAAGAAGCAACCGTGAAACAATAACTAAGCAGTGTAAACAACAACTATATTAACATCAGCTTCTACCACAGTGAAATCAGCCATAGGTTCAACAGAAAGACTCTTAGTAAGGTGCAACACTCAGTTCAATCACAGTCTATTAAAGGTACACTGAAAAATAAGGTCCACCGATATTTAAAGTGTTCTGGGCCGCCAATTCGTCCATTCCAGATATGTAAGCTTCCAATAGAGACTTTTCCAAATGTTCCAACTTCAAACATAGAGATGTGATAAATAGCAAATGGTAGACTTTGCAGGAAGAAGATGTGCAATTTCAGGGACACTCCTATTCCGGCTAACGAATCCGGACAGCTTCCGAGTTCATTTCCATCTCTGCTTTATCAAAGACGGAACAGCATGTTTTCCTATGCATCCATTTCTTGCCACATCTCACAAAATTTCATTTACAGCTGCTTACAGACTCAAGGGCAACTTCTTCAATCTCACGAATCTTTGTGTATGGAAGATTTGGTGGATGCATAGGAAGGCATGAGCCATTGGTGTGTTGTTTCCGGTTGTGAGGTTTTTTTTTCCAGACTGTAGTTTTATTAATTTTATATGTAATGTAGGTGGAGGAAGTTCAGCAGCATTCTGGTGGTGGAGGAGAAGTAGTTCATAAACTCAACAACAGTAAAATGCTGAATAGTTCTATTCCCTAGATTAGCGTCAGGAGACCAGAGTGCCCAGCACTAAAAACACCAAAGTTGCATCAATGAATGGTGACTAGGGTTATGAATAGGGATGGGCACAAACCACATTTTTTGTGGTTTGGTTTGTGGTTCGTACCTGAACCATGAATCGATATGTCGGTTTGCAAACCAAACTGGTTTGTGAGCCATTTAAGATTCAAAACCCTGCTTTTTGCTCCCTGCGGCTTTTCATGGGAGCAGGAAGCAGGGGGGCGTTTAAATTAAACAGCTGCCAGCCATGTCACCTGCTGTTTTTTTGCTCACTGCCAACACCTCTGCTTTCTGGTGTTCATGAACCACCACAAACTGCCATGAACTGAAAGTTCGTTACAGTTCTTCAACTTGCGAACATTGCTTCACGAAACATGAACCAGCCAAACTTTATGACGAACTTTCACTCATCTGCCAGTTCATGCCCATCCTCAGTTACCAGCCTTCAGGTGTGGTCTGGGGATCTTCTGGAATTACAATTGATCTCCAGATAAGGGGGGGAAATGCCTGCTTTGGAAGGGGAACTCTATGGCATTATACCTTGCTGATATTCCCAAACTTCACCCTCCCCAGACGCCACTCCCTCCCAACCCAGAATTATCAACCTTATTGGTAACCACAAATATTTGTGGTGCCACTGCTGTGCTGATACAACACATGGGTTGAAGACCATTTTCTTGAGAAGTTTAACATGCATTCCTGAAAACCTTCTGTGTCCTTTCTGATTCTAGGCAAATCTGTAAAGAATTCCAGGACTTGCTAAGCCAAGACAGATCACCTTTGGGATCTTCAAGGCCCACTCCGATATTAGACCTCGACATCCAGAGACATTTAACACATTTCAGGTATGGCTTTCCAAGTCCCATTTGTGGAGTAACAGGGATGTGGAAATGTGAGATTTTGGAGATGTTGGTGAAAATAGTGCAAGGCATTTCGGTGCCGAAACTGGAACGAAATTTATTTTTATCAGAAGCATTACATGAAAATACAGTCAAGGGGCTGTTACCATTCATTTGTTGGTTTGTAACCAGGTTAGCTTTTTTGTCCCAGGAACGGGGGGGGGGGACACCACCTACCAGTGATGATAGTTTCAAGAGGGCAGCTATTTTGATCTGAGGGAGAAGAACCAGAGTCAAGTTCAGTAGCACCTTAGAGACAGAAATCTTTTTTTTTTGTACTTGCCCAAATGGGCAAAGTTTATTAGTTGTTTTTTTAGGATTAACACAAAACAAAACAAAAAGAGCAATACATTGTTAACATATCTAGACATTGTCTCGCTCACAACATCTTTAGATACATAGTTCCCTTTCCCCCCTTGTTTAACTTTATATTCCACAACAAATATCATGAATCAAAATTTTATTCCCACTATATAGTTCATTTTTCTATATCCTATCTGCTGTATTTCGTTTTATCTATACTACAGTATTATTAATCAGTTTTATAATCATAAAAATAGGAAGGGAAAGAAGCAGGTGTTTCAACAGTTTAACAGTTCTAATTTGGGCAAATATTTCCCTTTAAGATATTCCTTGGTCCCTTTAAGATATTCCTTCACCTTTTTAGCAATATTAGCTTTCAAAATCCCATATACTTGCAAACTTAAGCATGGTATTTTATATTTTTCTTAGTTTTACAGTGCCAATACGCTTTCACCTTACTCTGTGTAAATCCATCTTTTCTCTCACAACAATAAATCATTACATTTTCTTTAGGTAATCAGCCCATTACTATTATTTTTTTTCTCTGCAAAGCCCACTCTAAAAATCAAACTGCCCTATAATTTTTTCTCAACCTTCAGTTAGAACATTACAAATATCCCAAACCTGTTGTTTCAAATAGACCAACCATTACTTATAACTTTCACTAATCAATTGGAACAATAAAGAAATCTTTCGTTATAATCTATTTATTGGATTTTCAGATATAAGGGGGGGAGGGGGAATAGAATATATATAATTACACACATCACAGTATTTCCCTTAAATACATTAGTTAATTATACATTTCATCCACATCTCATTAATTATAATAATCCGAATTACCACGTATATCAAGTTCATCATACTCCATTAACAAGGTTTATAACATCTCATAATTCATTACATCCACCTTCTCACACCTAAATCTTTTCCCACGCTAACTAAACTATTTCCATGGAGCTATTCTATTCATTTTGATACTGTCCATGGGGTTTTCTTGGCAAACATACTGGAGTGGGTTGCCATTTCCTTCTCCAGGTGTGATCTGGTCCGTGGGGTTGCGAAGAGTCGGACCCGACTGTGCGACTGAACAACAACAAAAAATTCTATTCATTTAACTCTTTTACGATCCTATTTCCTGTTTGTTCCACTCACCAGACCAGTAATGAAAGATCCTTACTTTCCCCATGAAAACTATGCTTTATTGGCCTTCCTCGTTCCACAACAGTCTAACCCCCATTCCATACTAACCATTTTTCAATCTTGTAAATATAACTAATTATCATTACACCAAAAGGCCCAGTTGTAAACAAACCACCTTTCTCTTTCTTCCTAGTACATTACTGGTAGTGAAAAGCATTCATACAATATTTGGAACAATAAAGAAATCTTGTTCTTCTTCCGGTGATGATGTTGTTGTTCTGGCAAACAAAATGGTGCAGGGAAGAGGGTAGTATTTGGCCAGACGTGTCAGAGTGAGCCAAGTCACAGCACTGCTGGGCTGGATTTGGCTGGGGGCTTGGCAGGGCCGGGGGGCAATGATGGGCTTAAGCCATGACTGTCACCTTCTCTGACATCACTGGCTCCAGCAGCCCTTGCCAGTGCTTTGCTTAGCAAAGATCAGACCCTGGGCACCAAGCAAAATGTCCGGGTCAGCCTACGTGCTGGGGGAGGTTACTTCCATAGGGCTTCCATGGGAAGTTCCATCGAGTTACTCTCTATGGGAACCCTGATGGGTTTTCAAAGCAAGAGGTGAACAGAGGTGGTTGGCCATGGCCTGCCTCTGCACGGCAACCCTAGACTTCCTTGGTAGTCTCCCATCCCAAGTCCTGACCAGGGCCGATTCTGCTTAGCTTCCATGACCTGGTGAGATTGAGCTAGTCTGGGTCACCCAGGTCAGGGCAGACGTGCAGAGGCAGATTGCCATTGCCTGCCTCTGCATGGCAACCCTAGACTTCCTTGGTAGTCTCCCATCCCAAGTCCTGACCAGGGCCGATTCTGCTTAGCTTCCATGACCTGGTGAGATTGAGCTAGTCTGGGTCACCCAGGTCAGGGCAGACGTGCAGAGGCAGATTGCCATTGCCTGCCTCTGCATGGCAACCCTAGACTTCCTTGGTAGTCTCCCATCCCAAGTCCTGACCAGGGCCGATTCTGCTTAGCTTCCATGACCTGGTGAGATTGAGCTAGTCTGGGTCACCCAGGTCAGGGCAGACGTGCAGAGGCAGATTGCCATTGCCTGCCTCTGCATGGCAACTCTAGATTCCCTTGGTGGTCTGGTCTCCCATCCAAGTCCTAACCAGGGCTGGCCTTCCTTATCTTTTAGGCTCTGCATGGCAACCCTAGACTTCCTTGGTAGTCTCCCATCCAAGTCCTAACCAGGGCTGGCCTTCCTTATCTTTTAGGATCCAATGAGACTGGGCTAGCCTGGGCTATCTGGTGCTCGTGGCTTTCAGTGTACGTCTCTCTGCTATGGATGTCCAGTACATCTGATGAAGTGAGCTTTCACTCACAAATGCTGCTGATGTTGGAATAAATGCTGTTAGTCTCTAAGGAGTCACGGGACCGGTGGTGAATTATGCTTATAACTGACCGGGGGGGGGGAAGCAGGGCACACATGTTCTCTTCCTCTGGGACTGTTTGATCACCCAGAGAGAGGCAGGTACAAGCTACGAAATGTGATCCTTGAACGGGGGATTTGCAGTGAAGCCAAAACAGCTGAAGGCGATACTCCACCTGAAAAGTAAGCAGACGGAGAGGGGAGAGTGATTTCAGCAAAGCATACTTTATTCGGTCAGGAACAAGACAGCTTTTGCCGGCTTGCAGCCCGGCTTATATTCCCAGTGAAACCGTCACCCCTAACACACACACACACGTCCCAATAGGTTATTTACAGGGGCCGAGAGTTCCATAGACTCACGGCCAGGACCTAGCCCCCTGATTGGTGCGGGCTAGGATCCGCATGGTCTATTGTTTCTAAGAGCGAAGCTCGACATTTGTGCTTGACCACGTGGAGCCCCAGCCGGCCACGCGGTCTGACTAGATATATTACACCACCGTTGCTAATTTTTGATGCTGACGGCCACAGCGTGCAAAATGTCAACCCCCAAGTAGACCCCATGAACAGTGTATGCCTCCAAGCCGCTTCCAACTTGTGGCAACCTTGTGAATTAACTACCTCCAAAACGCCCTATCATTCACAGCCTTGCTCAGGTCTTCTGGCTTCCTTGATCGAGTCCATCCATCTCCTGTTGGCTCTCCGTCTTTTCTTGCTGCCTTCAACTTTTCCTAGCTTTATTGTCTTTTCCAGTGACTCCTGTCTTCTCATAGCGTGGTGGAAGCATTGATAACCTCAGCTTAGTATATGGATTATGGCAAAGAACATACACATGCTTTGCATGCTGAAGGTCTCAGGTTCAATCACTGGAATCTCCAGTTCAAAAACGTTCAAGTAGTAGGTGATGCGAAAGACCTCTGCCTGAGATCCTGGACAGCCGCTGCCAGTCTGAGATGACAATACTGATCTTCAGGGTCTGATTCTTTATAACACAACTTCATATGGAGTCAGATCACGACAGGTAGCCATGTTCGTCAGGTAGAAAAGAGCAAGAGTCCAGGAGCACCTTAAAGACTAACAAAATATGTGGCAGGGGAGGAGCTTTCACGAGTTACCACTCAATTCTTCAGATACAACTAGAATGGGAGTTCATCTGCCCTATTTTCTGGAAAGTGATTTCAGATGCCGAATGACATTAGCAGGCAAATGACAATAGCTGGTGAATGACAATAACTGGCATGACTGTTGAATTGCAATTGATAATGAAGCTCAAGACAATGCATCCACCTGGACTGAACCGAGACCTAGGTTTCCTGTCTCATTATTATCAATGATGATTTCTCCACTCCTACTACCCCTCTGCATATCTCACCTAAATCCAATCACACCTGCTTATTGTCATTCACCTGCTATTGTCATTTGCCTGCTGATGTCATTCGGCATCTGAAATCACTCCGCTTCCCAATAAATAGGACATATGGACTCCCATTCTAGCTGCATCTGAAGAAGTGAGCCGTGACTCATGAAAGCTCCTGCCCTGGCACATATTTTGCTAGTCTTTAAGGTTCTACTGGACACTTGCCCTTTTATACAACTTTGTGTGTATGTGTGTACACACACATACAGAGAATTTTTTTTAAGATAATGTCGGGGGGAAGATCACAGGTAGACACCCTGGAAGTCCTATGCAGCTGCCCGTGGGTTTTTCAATGCTTTCACGAATGAGCAGGGCATAGGAGAATGTGTCCCTCTTTGCGAGTCATCCATCAGCCATCGCTTGTTGTAAATATTTGATAGCAACTTCTGTCGTAGGAAACATCCAGACTCGGCCAATATTGGAAACTGGGGGTAGACAGATGGTGGCATCCTGTTCCTATCCCTCCCCTTCTCCCACAGCGAGTGCCAATGTTTCCTTTGCTCTGAGCTCTGTCAGCCTGGAGGTGGAGGGCTGGGTTGAGGGGGGAAACTGAAGACCTTGTTGTCGCTGCCAAAGTAGGGTCCAAGTCTTGGGGCCTATTTGGCTGGTTTCGCTTCCACGGATGTATATCATTAAAACATGACTGCGCCTCCCCTTCCACGAAGCTTCCAGACGCGGCTGCATATGCTTAACAGCACACAGACTTAAAAAAACCCTTGGCATTAGATGCCTTAACAGCAGCCATTAAAAGAGCTCACCGACACCCCGTGCGATATAGAAGGAAGATGTTATTCTTTCCCACGATGCTCTCAACAGCACTTTTTATTCATAGGTTAAGTGATTGGTTCCAATTGATCATGAATCCAGCAGTCAACACCTGACACTGTCAAAGAACCCATGAAGCGTTTAGTGAGAGCAATTCCGTGTTCCAGACCATCTGTGGTCAGTCTTCAGGAACATCTACATTACTCTGGTGCAGCACCATCATTTCCTGCCACAAACATATAAAGTGTATTTAACAAATATAAAGTTGGTGATGTCACAACAACAAAATTTAGTGCATACTATAACTTGAGCTGCGGTGGCTCAAGTGGTTAAGGCGCTAAACTGCAGGCTGTGGAAGGTCGGTACTAGTTCAGCATTTCGAGACCCAGGGGTGCCGCATGACGGAGTGAGCTTCCGTCTCTAGTTCCAGCTCCTGCCAACCTAGCAGTTCGAAAGCAAGAAAATGCAAGTAGATAAATACTGTAGGTACCACTTCGGTGGGAAGGTAACAGCGTTCTGCGCGCCTTGGTGTTTAGTCATGCCGGCCACATGACCACGGAAATGTCTTCGAACAGCGCTGGCTCTTCGGCTTTGAAACGGAGATGAGCACCGCAACCCTAGAGTCGGATTCAACTGGCTTTCGAGCAAGGGAGACCTTTACCTTTACTATAACTCTAATAAGGCATAAGATGCAATGTTTTCTCCTTAGAAGATAAGACGTAAAGTCCATGTAATCAGTGGAACTTGACAGGAGGAGTCCACATAGTCATAACATTTTCCAAACAGCCTTTGCAAAGACGCCCGTTCTAGATACTTAAAAGACGCATTTCCTTCAACTTCTTCAGTTTGCCAGCTGTGTAGGTGGAACCTGATTTCAACCATTTCAACAGACCACAAGGTTCATAGTGTAAAGAGCGAATCATAGGTTGTCTATCTGGGTCCTCTGTGACGCTAGTTTCCCCCCTGTTTTTGGACAAACATATAAAGAGCAGACAACATACATATGTTTTTAAGCACCCATGTACAGCCTTCCAAGAGCACTGCTTGGGCCAGGGGAACTAAACATAATACAGATCCATCCTACAGACATAGTAATATTCACACAAAAATCCTGTGATGAGAACATTATTAAGAAAATTTATATACTTTGTTAGACTTTATAAAATGCAAAAGATTTTGTCAACATCCTTATTTGTACAATATTGTTAATAACAAGTCCAATATAGTCCAACATGATAAGTACCCGGTATGAACTTATTTCAACTTTTACAGTCTTCCTCAGATGTAAGGCTATATTGTAAGGAGAGGTCAGCTTCTTAATCCAGCTCAATATTGTAATAGCCTTCATAATATCCTGGAATAAACCAAGTAAATGGAAATTCATATGCAGTTGCATGGAAAAGTTATTCATTTTGTAATGATTTAATACTTAGTATACTTACTTCTAGATTCAACAAGTTTCTATATGTGGAGCAAGCCAATAAATTCAAAAACAGCCTCCTGGATTTTGTTGGCTATGCTCTCCTAAGCACTATTAATTACAGTAGTAGCAACCAGTCCTTATTTCACCCGGCTAAAAGCCTTCATTTGGTGGCTGGCAAATGCTCTCTACATTAATCCAGATTTTATAAAAATTCTACTAGTTAATTCCATGCAGCTGCATGATGAGCTTCACATTCTTAAAGTAACATAACCTTATAGCAAGCTGAACCTCTGTAATTATATTCATTATTACATTGTTACATAAATATTTATTTATCCATTATGTGTACATATATGTCTTATTAATCCCCAAATAGAACAGTACAAAGCAAGAGGGGTCACAGGTGTCCAATAGGAAAACACACATCCAATTACAAAATCTGGACTAAATAAATTTAAAGGAGCTTTGCCTATTTAAACCATTTGGCGGCAGAGTTCTCCAGGATTTACCTGTTAAGGGCTGTTTATCAGACTTTAAATCTGGTAATATAAATAAGTAAGGTGTGAGTTCGGTTCTTTGAACTATAACCAGCAACCCAGACCAAAAACCCGTAGATACTTCTTATTTTCTTATTGGGAAAAAAGGAATGATTCTCTTTATCATGCAAGACTTTAAGAAGCATAGGCATGAAAAAAAAGCCTATAATTACCATAAAAATAAGTACTCCCGTCATATTGTTATATTTTAAAGATCCCAAGACAATGCAGAGCCTTCACCTTGGCGAGACTTAATTCCTTTCCTTCTAAGGTGCTCTCTGGTCATTTTACGGGACTTCCATTTTCAGAACGACGTTGCGATTGTGGACAAGAGATGATAGAAACTATGGATCATATAATGCTTTTTTGGCCAAGTGGAATAAGGAAAGTGAGAGAGATATCATTCCCATTATGAGAAAAGAAAAGCTTCCCTTTCTTCCTTGGGTCGTTTCAGTGTTATTGTCTGATTATTCCTCTGACAGACAAACCGCGGTTATAGTGGCTTCCTTCTTAGCCGCGGTGATTAGGAAAACCAATCTCCTTGAGTTTAATTAGCTTACTGCTCACAACTGACGATTGTGTATTTACTAAGTTGACAATTTTAAGTGTGGGTTGTTTCTTTTTTTCATGATTTCGATCTTTTTTAATCTTTGCAAAAAATGATTTGTTATTACTTGCTTGGATTTAGTGTTGGTCACATATTTTTATCGTGTTCTGATGCTATGGCTTTTTTGCTAATGCAATAGATATATATATGTATGTAAAAATAAGTACTAAAATCATCAAAGTTCCTAACATGTCTTAATCCTATTATAGTGAGTAATAATTTGAAAAGCAAACCGGGGTTCAGGTTTTGTCTCACTTCTTTTAGGGATTATCAGCCAAGTGACACACACCCAGATATCTCACCTAATCTGCTTCTGAGGCCTCCATCCAAATAAATCTGATTTGCTTATCACGGTACTACATACGACAGTCTTATCTATACACTATTTCTCAAGTGTGGCCTCAATCTGTGGATATCTAAATTCACAGATTGGGGCCACACTCGAATTAAACAATTTTTTCTGCAAACCTGGGTGATGCCCCAAGTTTGCAGGAAAATCTGAAATCTTTAAAAAAAAACAACCCAGTGGGGGTTTAAATTCCCCCCAAAGTAAAATAGCGTTCTCTGTGCAAATACAGAGAACCGTAGCTAACGCGGGGCCCGGCCACCTAGCGTTTCTTCCGGGGGGCTCCCTCCTGGGCTGGCCCCCAAATGGAATTAATGTAATCAACTTTGATTTAATGAGCTGTGCCCCCCCTGAGGCCCCCTCCCCCAAACCTTTTAGCAATGGAGCTGCAGAGAACACTGTTTCCTTTCTACCTTCAGCATGGTGGAGCCCAGGAGCTATACCAGGCCCAGTGCGGAAGGTGGGGGGGAGAGATGGGATCCCCCTCACCGGGATCCCCCTCACCAGTCTTGCACACCCACACTTATTTTCCTCTAAAGCTCTTCTATCATAAGCATGTGATTGTCCCACCAGTGGTATCCTGTAGAAATGGACGCTCTTACACCCATTTACCCAGGGGTCATTTCGTAGAAAAAGAGGTGCAGGAGCTCATTAGCATAACTCATTAGCGTAACTTATTTGTATATGCCACACCCCCTGAGATCACCAGAAGTGTGTCAGAAGGCAACACCCACCCACTGGACTGTTTTGGATTGCTAGCTATTGGGGGTGGGGGGGGATGTGCAGATCTGTCCTTGCAGAGGAGGGAGAGTTTGTACCTGAAAAAAACTTGGTCTTAAAAGTGCCACTGGACTGTTTTGGATTGCTAGCTATGGGGGAGGGGAACGTGCAGATCTGCCCTCACAGAGGAGGGAGAGCTTGTACCTGAAGGCAGGCCGGGGGGGGGGGCTCTGCACCTTACCTGGCTGGCTTCTTGCTCCTCATGGCCCAACTGAGGGCTGCTGGGAGCAGGGGGCGGGGCTTGTTGCATGTGCCTGCCCCCTGGGCTTCTTACTGCCAGAGCTCCGCTCCTGTGCGCTCCCGCAGGAAATGACCCCTGCATTTACCCCAGCTAAAGATCTGATTTCCTGATGCTTCGGACCCAACCTGCCTACCAGAAAAACAACCTCTGAATCTTGTATCTAGTTTTGCACACACACCCCACCCCCCCTGTGATAAATATTTTAGCAGCCAACTCCTGAACTGAGGGATAATGAGAGATCTGCGTACAGTAAAAATCGTAAATATTTCTCTCTCTCTCTCTCTCTATCTCTCCACTTTTCCAGTTTGATCACTCACGGCTTCGGAACCCCGGCGATATGTGCTGCTCTCAGCACTTTCCAAACTGTCCTCAGCGAAATGCTGAACTACTTGGAAAAACACACGGCGCACAAAAATGGTGCCACGGCGGAATCCGGCCAAGGACACGCCAACTCCGAGAAAGCTCCCCTGCGGAAAACTTCAGAGGCTGCCGTGAAAGAAGGCAAAACAGAAAAGACAGACTAACCGCATCAAACAGAATCTATGGCCAGAGACCCTCCCTGAAGATATATTTTTTAAAGAAACATATAACTATCTATCTATATACATATATATCTATGTATCTCTCTATATATGTATCTCATTGAGGGTGATTTAACTCCAGCAGACCACACTGAAGGGGGGGGGGGGAAATACGGGCTTTCAAAATAGGAAAACTAACCCTTGCCTGACCCTGAGAACGGCAATGTACAGTAAACGCGCGGTGGAAATTGTCCCTTTTAAAAAACGTTGCTCTAAACTGCTTTGTGTGAGCGTGCGAGTGTGTGCGAGAGCGAGTGAGTGTGTGCACATGCATTTGACCGTTCCTATTGGGACACTGACCCTTTTTTCCCCTGAGCACTTCTGAACTTGGAAGAAGCTACAGAACCCTACCAGTTACAGGCAAGGCCTGAAATATCCCTCACCCCTGATTGGACGGTAAAATGAAGGACTCTGGAAATATCGTGACCGGGGCTATGCTGCTCTTGAATGAACTTGTGGTCACATCGCCTGCTGGATGGACAAAAGAGAAAAGAGTGCTTCTTTATGTTGCCCTTGACAGACAATGTGGAAGATTGCCTGGAATGGAAGTGAAACCACTTGTCGATCTGGGGAATAACAAACTCTGCATTACTGGTGGGGGGAATTTATGGTAAATCCACATAGAAGTCATGCCGAAGTCTGTCAAGGATCAGTCCTTCTGCTTGGAGCAGCAGCTTTGGAGACCACCCTGGAGGAACGAGCTTTAACGGGTGAGGCCTTTGTACCTCTACCCTGAGCCTCTGACTCTCTTTCCCTTCGTCTTAGCATCTAAAGTCCATCTCTGCGGCCAACCATCTTTAGCTGCATGCTCTGATGGAGCAATGGAAGTGGCCAAAGAGGTCTTTTGTGTTGCCTTGATTTTGTGAGGTTTCCTCTTCCCTTCCCTTTGAAGAGCTTGTTTAGTAATGCAAGTATGACTCCAGGTGTCCCCTGAATATATTTGATAGCTACAGGCTATCAAATTATCAAATTCAGGTTCAGAATGGAAGTGGCAACTTGTAGGTCTGTTCAGACAACCAAACCATGTAATGCGAATGCTATGGGGGGATGGGGTTGTGGCAAAATTCCACATCTCTGAGCTACAGACGTTCAGTCGAATATGTGCATGGTTCCCTAGATGGGTATAAACTGTACATACATAAACCTGTGCATAGGGACTGTTCACACCGTCTGGTGAATATATGTCATATTGGGAGAATGGCCTGCCACCATGATTCAACTGTCCTCCCCGTCACCTTTACATTCATTGTACACAGTTTCATCCTCTGAACAGGCATGTCAAGAACAGCCAAAGAGGTACAGGCTCTAACTAAACACTTTGTGGGAAACAAAGTACAGATTTCATGCTTCTGACCTTTCAGACTTTAGATGCTGCCAGTTTCGTTCTCGTTCTCGCTATTCTCTTCTGAGCTTGGTCCCCACGAGGGATAGGAGAATTGCCACTATCCGGATTTGTAATCCGTTTGGACATCCAGATTATTTTACCAGGCATCTGCTGGAATTCTAGACTGCTGTCCCAAAGTCAACATTTTCAGATAGGCCCTGGTGTACACAGATGACATCATCATGTATATCAAGGGTTGTCATTGTCCAGTCGCACAGTCGAGTCCGACTCTTCGCGACCCCATGGACCAGATCCCGCCAGGCCCTCCTGTCTTCCGCTGTCCTCTGAAGTTTGCTCAAGTTCATGTCCGTTGCATCTATGACACTGTCTAACCATCTCATCCTTTGCCGTCCCCGTCTTCTTTGACCTTCAATCTATCAAGGGTAGAAGCTTCCAAACATTCATTCATTGGTTCATCCATCCATCCATCCATTCTCTCTCTTTATGGCTGTTACGGACAATTCCTTTCCATAGCAATTGTAACACTGCCTCACTATTACAGTGGAATTGCTAGGTTCGAGTCCAGTAGCACCGTACAGACCAAAGATTTTGGGGCTATAAGCTTTCAAGAGTCAAAGCACCCTTCATCAGATAAAGGGAGCTTTGACTTTCAAGAGTTTATACCATGACAATCTTGCTGGTCTCTAAGGTTTTCCTGGGCTTGAATCTACCTGTTCTACTGTAGACCAACACTACTACCCTCTGAAACTATCACCATGACAGTGGTAAACATCAATAGCCCGGTGGTCTTACGACAGAGCACATTTTCAAGCACTTCTTCTTACAATTCACCCCACCCCGAAACTCTCACAAAACTTTCAAAATCTAGACGACTTGCCATGAGACATGACCCAGATTGCAATGTCTGTAATGTTTGCCTGTTCTTTTTCAACCTGCTCTTGTAATTGTGCCTTTAACAGGTGACACGGGAATTAACAGGTGACACTGAGGCTAAAGAATCAGTCCGCTCATCAGCACACAGGAACAAGGGCCAGCCGAAAAGGCAGCAACCCAAAGTCTATGAAAGAGTGCCCTGAAATACGCCAGTCTTCCAGTTCCAAAACTGGATTTGATTTCACTTTGCAAACGTCAGCCACCGGGTTATTATCGGAACTTGGTGTAGCAGTGCGCAATATTCACAGAGGCTTGTGGCAATTGGCTCGACATGGTCTGAGATGTGTGGGGCCCTTACCCTGGTTAAGCATGTTCAGACGTCGGTGTCACAATGCAGTCCTAAGCAGAGTTATGCCCTCCTAAATTCATCAGCTTTGATGGACTTACAAGGGTGCAATTCTGCTTTGAATTGCACGTAAACATTTATAGGCAGATAGCCCCCAAAAAGATATTCAATGGGTACAAAGATGGTCCCATCAAACCCAATAGAACTCTCCATAGCTAACATTTGGTGCTTGGCATCCATGGCGCATCTCATGTCAACGTAACTTCATTGAAATGAAGGTTAATGACTGTGAATTTTGTGGTTGCCTTCCAAACCATTTGGACAAATTATCATACTGTTGTACTTCAGATTTTAGAATGACTGTTTGGTGGATATGGTGATCATATTCTCCATGGAACAAGAGAAGTAGAATCTGGCCTTCAGAGATGTTCTCACAGACAGAGACAGTGTCATTGGCAGAACTGGTTATTGGATTCTGTGGCCATCATTCCAATGCTCTTGCTGTGATTGTCATTAAAGATCAGGTGTATCAGCAACCTTTGTACCTTCATGAGAGAGCTGTATGCCTTTTCAGGTGAAAAAATGAATGAGTGTTTGAGATCTGTCCTATTTGGAATTCATGGGCTTTGTAATGATGTATGTAATGAATGAATGTAATGGCCCCATGTTTCCCAGGCAATTACATCTTCTTCTCGTAATACTCAAAGGCAACCCCATGCACAGTTACTCCTGTCTACACTCATTGATTCCAGTGGGTTTTGACCAGAGTAACTCTGTATAGGATTGTACTGATAATTTTTCAGTTCCTTTTGTCCACGATTTCATTGAAGCCCTACAGTTGTTGGTGCTACCCCCCCATGTAGTCCTGAGTGTGGGTTTTCCCCCCTTGAAAAAGACCTTAGAACCATCATTTGCTCCAGAAACAAAGAATCAGAGCTGCTAACGAATCCAGACAAATTTGGTCATGATCTTAGCCTCCAGAGACAGAATATGGCTGCTTCAATTGAAAGGACAAGAGGAATTCACATGATGAAAATTCGGGCCAACGCAAATTCTACCCGAATGATCTGTTGTTTTCTTGCTCCTCTTAGTAAGCTCTGGACTAACAGATGATCATCTCTTTTTCTCCAACCAGAAAGCGTTTATACTTAAATTTGAGCCTTGTTTTTAAGAGCACATCGAGAAATGTAATGTATGTTTGGAACCTGGTGTATCATACAAGGACACACATCCCTGTGGAATATATGTTTGGTGGCAAAAACAAGTTTGCTACCCCCTATTGGGTGAAATGACCCTCATGGTCAATTCCAACGTCTGAATGCCATGGACAGTCTTTTCAAATCTCTTTGTAAATACCATTCCCTATTCATCTTTTCCTTTGGAACTTCCTCACAGGCATGGTTGCTTTTTTTAGAAGCACTAACATGGTGGCAGTTTTTCTACCCAAACACACTCATACCCCCCCCCCATGTAGTCCTGAGTGTGGGTTTTCCCCCCTTGAAAAAGATCATTTGCTCCAGAAACGAAGATTCAGAGCTGCTGATGAATCCAGATTAATCTGGTCATGATCTTTGCCTCCAGAGATGGAACGTGGCTGCTCCAATGGAAAGGGCAAGAGGAACTGGTATGATGAAAATTCGGGCCCACACAAATTCTACTGGAAGTGTTCATTTCCAACCATTCTTTCTTTCCTGGCTGTGCTATGGGCTCAACAGAAGCACTGGTTGTAAGACCAGGAAGAGGAGGGTGTTTTCCCTATGTCAGATAAAGGTCAAATCTCAGTTTCTTTGACTGATGTTAATTTTTATATAATGGATTCCGTTCTGTACAGCAGCTGTCGTAATTGTACTTAAATGTGAGTAAGCACTTGATCACAAGCAAGGTGAACCTTGTTTCTCCTCCCCCTCCCCGGTTTCAATACGCCGATTTCTAATTTGGTGGTGAAAACGCATTCCCCTCCCCTTTCTATTTCTGTTTCTTATATGACTTGTCCATTTGACATGAGTCTATAAAGATGACGAACACATGGAAACGAACATTTCACGGCAATAAAATCTATGTTGATTTATGCTCTCGGCCACCCGTTTTTTGTCTTGTAGGCTTCTGAACAGCACCTTCTAGGGTGGGAAGAAATCCTGTTCTTTTAACACAGGGGTCCCCAAACTTTTTGAGCCTGTGGACATCTTTGGAACGCTGATGCAGTCTGGTGGGTGCAGGCACAAAATGGCTTCCACAGGAGGTGGAGCCAGCCACAAAATGGCTGCCACAGGAGGTGGAGCCAGCCACAGCTTACTTTCAGCCACACTATGAAGATCCTTGTGCTGTGGTAGCAGTTGCTGCTATAGCAACTTTAAAAAAACAACAAAAAAAACTGCACTG